GGGGGGGGGTGCGGGAGGCAGCCGATCAACGACTCTCTCATCATTGATGTTTCTCTCTCTCTCCCTTCCTCTTTCTGAAATCAATAAAGATAGATTACAAAAGAAAAGAGGATATGGCAGCCCTGGCCTTGTTAGCTCAGTTGGTTCGAGCAGCACCCCTATATGCCAAGGTTGCAGGTTCAATCTCCAGTCAGGGCACATACAAAAAGCAACCAATGAATGCAAAAATAAGTGGAACAAATCAATCTCCCCCTCTCCCTGTCTCCCCACCCCCCAAATCAATCAATAAAATTGGGCTTGGCTGGCATGGCTCAGTTGGTTAAGCATAGCCCCATGCACCAAAAGGTCAGTGGTTTGATTCTGGTCAGGGCACATGTGGGGGTTGAAGGCTCGATCCCCAGTAGGGGGCATGCAGGAGGCAGCCAACTGATATTTCTGACTTCCTCTCTCAATAAAAACATATTAAAATAAACTAATTAATTAATTAAAATGAAGAATTTCAGTTAAAAAATAATTAATTCAAAAATAAAATTAAAAAGAGGGTATAGCAGAGAGTATTAAATGGTGACAAAAGGTCTGGTCAGATTGGGGCTAAAAGAACTGACTGCCTTATTGTGTCCATACATTTTAGAGATACACACTGGAGTAAGGAGGGGTGAAATGACATATCTGGGATTCGCTTCAAAATACTTCAGCAGCAAATGAAAGGAAAAAAAGGGATAGATGAAGGAAATGTGGAAAAATCTTGACATCATTCAGTTTGGGTAATGGGTATATTTGGCGGCCACTGAATCATTCCCTCTACTTTTATGTATATTTGAAAATGTCCGTAATTAAAAAGGACAGGATTGCACAAAATGGTGAGCTCCACAGGGACAGGGACCCAGCACTGAGTATGTATCTGTAGAGTGCATGAGAGATGGCTTTAGCAAGAAGACAGCCGTGGTCACCTTGGCTGAGAGCTCTGACTTACTGCGAGTATCAGTGAAAGAAAAGGGAGGCCATTCTAGGAAGGAAAGGCCAAGTCCCACAGACAGTGTGATGCTGTCTTCCCTCCGCCTCTTGCAGCGGAGCTCCTACCAAGTCACCAAACTCCCCTCTCCTAAGACCCCACCCCAGCACCCCAAGGGCCCCAGTAGGAGTCACTTACCCAGGATATGGGGCAGAGGGACTTGTACACACGCCGGTACCATTCGCACACGGAGACATCACCCCCTTTAGCAGTCATTGCCTTCTCACAGCGGTGGAAGTCTGTGAAAAAGGGGGTTCAGGGTCAGCCTGGACAAAGGGCTGGAGCACATTTTTGAACAAAAATCATAGAAATACTTTTTATCTCACAACCAGTTACACACACACACACATTTTATAAAGAATGTATGCCCTTACAAGTGTACTAAAAAGGGCTAGATATACCTCTAGTATAGGCATATCTAGTTAGGGCTAGTATACTAAATTAACTTTGTAACCCCTAGAGAACTGCTGTTTAACTTGAAAACTCTGCAATCACAACTGATGGGGTAATATGAGGGGCATGTGTAAGGATTATGGAAATCCAAAACCAGGGCAAGGGAAGAGGAAGAAAGTCTTGATGCTAAGATGCTGGAGTCCAAGAGAGGAAGACAGAGTGGGATAATCTGGTTTTTAAAAGTCAGCAATTAATTAGCCCTGGCCAGGTAACTCAGTTGGTTAGAACATCATCCCGATATGCCAAGGTTGTAGGTTTGATCCCAGTCAGGGCACGAACAAGAATCAGCCAATGAATGCATAAATATGTGGAACAATGAATTGATATTTTCTCTCTCTCAAGTAAATAAAAAATAAGTGAATAAATAAATAAAAGTAGGCAATTAATTTTTAAAAATTTGATCCCAGTATTCCACTTCTGGACACATTCCCTAGAGAAAAGCATTCACATGGACATCAAATTACATCTATAAGAATGTATACAGCAGCATTATTCATAAGAGCTCCAAACTCTAAACCACACAAGTGTCCATGAATAAACTGTGGAAAAAACTATAAAAAATGAGCAAACTACATGTCACAGCACAGCTGAATCTTCAAAACTGTTGATTTAAAAAATCTAAACACAAGAGAATACCTACAGTATTTATAAAGTTCGCAAAGAGGCAAACCTAAACGTGGTGAGAAAATAAAAATGTGATTGCCTCAGTCAGTGGGGTTACATCTCTACTGGGGAGAGGAGGGTGTTGTGATTAATACAGGGTGTGCAGTAGGTAGGGGAGTTCAGAGTTCAGGCAATATCTACTTTTTTATCCAGGTTATAGTTACACAGGGGTTCACTTCAGAATTATTCATTTAGCTGTATGTTATGTTTTCTGTACTTCCCATATGTATGTTCCATCATACACACAAATAAATCTTTTTTTTAAATTGATTTTAGAGAAAGAGAGAGACTGAGAAAGAAACAGAGAGAGAGAGAAACATCGATTTGTTGTTCTACTTGTTTATGCATTTATTGGTTGCTTCTTGTATGTGCCCTGACCAGGGATTGAACCCACAACCTTGGCCTATCAGAACAATGCTCTAACCAACTGAGCTTTATTTTTTATTGATTTTTAGAGATAGGAAGGGAGAGGGATAGAGGGAAACATCGATGAGAGAGAAACATCACTGACCAGCTGCCTCCTGCATGCCCTCTACTGGGGATTGAGTCCACAATGGGGCATGTGCCCTGACGGGGAATAAAACCAGTGACCTCTGGTTCATAGGTTGACACTCAACCATTGAGACACACTGGCCGAGCTCAAATAAACCTTTTAAAAAAGAAATCATTGTAGGAAACAAAGTTTGTGGCACTGGCCCAGATCTTGAACATAGTTGATGACAAGGAGCCTAGGCCCTGTGAGGTAGGATGTCCAAAAGTAAAAAAGGCCTGAGATTTGTGGGTCCCCAAAGAGGCGAGGTGAACAGCTTCAGGTGTGGGAACAGGGGGAGATCTGTATTCCCCCCACTACCATTCCTGCTTACCCAGGTAGTTCTGCCAACAGTTCCTGGTCTGGTTCTGGTTGGGGAAGCGGCTGTCAAAAGGAGCAGTCCGGTAGTTCTTGATTTTGGTCTTGATGTCTTCTGCCATGTTGCTGACTCCTAGAGGCAAAGAGAATGGGTGTTAGCAGGGGCTCTATGGGGCCTGAACCTGGACATGTCAACCACCCAGGCCCAAAGGGGTCCCAGATACAGATGGGGTGAGTGTCAATAAGCCACCATCCCCTCCCTCTCAACATACACAGAGGTGAAGGACGGGGCAAATCCATATATCTAAGTGTGTAAGTCACAGCAAGGTTTGGAGGGAGGGTCAACTCCTTGGTAAAATCAGGCCTTATCTGTCACAAAATAACACTTGCTAACACTCACTGAGTGCTTACTACAGGCCAGGTGCTGTCCTATACTCTTACAGCTTCACTCATTCAGCCAGTCTAATAAAAGATAAGAACTATTACTATCACTGTTCCTCAGACAAGGGACAACCAGTGTCTAAATGATTTCTCAAGGTCATACAGCACAAGAGTGGAGGAGCTACACTCAATCATTAACACGAGGCACAATGCAGAGATTCTTAAAGTCTTTGGTGCCATGAACTCTTCAGAGGGGTCTAATGATTACTTTCTCAGAACATGTTTAAATGCATTAAAAAATTGCACAGGCTAGCAAAGATAACCAGTTATATGTAGCTGAGGATTTATTAACTACCACAGTTTTGAAGTAATGGTGAGTAAAAATATTTTGTACTATCTGCAACTATAATGTGAGATAAGATGATCTGTGATTTTGATTGCTGACAAAGTCACAAATGCTGCTAATACTAAATGCTGCTAATACTCCTGAGGTTGTTGCCTCCATGCCTAAATGAAGCAAATGCTACATTTCAATTAAGGTTAGTAAAAACACAGATGTAATTTCCTGCCATTTGCCAGTCGAGTACTAGAACCCCTTGAATTCTACAGATCCAGTGGACCCAGGGTTAAAGACTTCTGCTACAATGTCTCTTAGGAGGTGACACACAGTTTTTACCAGAGAATCTGAGAGAAACTGCCTCTATTCCAGAGATTTCGAGGAGTCCTGGGTTTACACTGAGGTAGGCAAGCTAGTGTTAAATTGAAGCTATCCACGGTAGTGGTGGGGATCTGGGCCACCGGAGTAGCCTGGGGAAGGAGTGACGACGGGGTCGGGGGGGTTGTAGAACACCAGCCGCTGGGACAACAGACGCGGTCGGAATCGTAATTTGGGGCGAGATCTTGACCCGCTATCTGGGAATGAGGGTGGGTCGGGATGACACCGTGGACCCTCCAACGCCCAAGGGGAGAGGAGGGTCCAGACACCAGGCAGCTAGGCTGCAGCCCAGGCGAGCTGCGGGCAGCCACGCCTGCGCCCTGAAGACTAAGGGCACCGCAGTTCAAACTAGAGTCCAAATCCTGGTCGCTGGCTAAGCAGCTTAACCTGAGCCTCGGTTGCCTCGCTGTCAAAAGGGACAATCACAGGCTGGGGGAGGACTAAATGAATTAATATAAGTCACTTGGAATGTTGCCCGGCATTAAGGAACTAAATAATCGTTAGTTATCACTAATAACACAACAGGACTCCAGGGCTCCCCCCAGGGGGCCGAAGCCGCCGGCCGGAAACCTCACCTCGTCCTGGGGGAAGCTAGGGTCCGTCCCTCAGTCCCCCAGGATGGGATGCCAGGCTCCCGAACTCTCAACACTCACCTAAAGCTGCCCCTGAAGCCGCTCGCAGCTCAATGTGACCCTCAGCAAAGACGCCTCGGTCTGCCCGGAAGCGGAATTAAGGAGAACCGGAAGCCTGACGGGGTATAAGTGAGTCTTCCACTCGGCTAGAGCGCCCTCTGGGAGGCGGCCCCTGAGGCCAGTAAGGCTACGCCCATTCATGAGAACTCCAATCTTCTATTGGACTAAATAGCTGTTCATCATCACTCCAGGCCCAATCATGAGCTTGTGTAGCATTTGGAGGGATTCAGAGCTGGGTTTGGGACGCCGACTCGTTACAGGGTCTCGTTACTCCCTTGGCTTTACCTCGAGAGGGAAGTTGTCTGGGTCCTGGTGCTGGCCCGAGAGTGGGCCTGGGGAAACACCCGAGCGGAAGGACTCTATTCGTGCAAGTATTATTTATTGAATGCCAGGTACTTCTGTAAGGTTGGGGATATATCATTGAACAAAAGACTACAATCCATACCCTCATTACAATTATTAGGGGGTATTGAAAAAGAACCAGCTTTTCCCCCAGGGTCAGTTGTTATGTTAAGAGGAATGTCCAGCCCTGGTGAGTTTTGTTAAGTGGTTAGAGCGTCGGCCCGCGGACCGAAGGAAGGGTCGAGGGTTCGATCCCCTGTCAAGGGCACGTACCTCGTTCGCTGGTTCGATTCCCCGGCTCCCGTCGTGGTGCGTGCGGGAGGCAACCGAGCGCTGTGCCTCTCTCACGTCGTCAGTGTTTCTCTCTCCCCCTCCTCCCTTGCCCTCCTCCTTCCCTTCTACTCTCTAAAAATCAATGGAAAAAATATCCTCGGGTGAGGGTTAAGAAAAAATAAAAAGAGGAATGCCCATACTCCACCTCCAAACCCCAGAAAGATTTGGGTGACTGAGGACTCAGAAATCAGTCCTGCATCACAGAGAGTAGGGGTTAAGAATGTGAAGAGTCTGGCGGAAAGTGGTGCATCTCAGAGAGACTTGTCCTTGGATCCTGTCTTTCTCACCCCATAGCAAATCCCGTTGGCTTTCCCCTTAAAAATATGCTCAGAATCTAACCCACCAGCACCTCCAGCCTGGATGGTTGCAGTAGCCCACTCCCTGGCCTCCTGGCTTCCCTACTGCCCTCCACAATCAGTCCACTCAGCCAGAGGGACCCTGCTAATGCCTCAGTCAGATCATTTCCCTTCCTTAGCCTAGAACCCTACCTTGGTGTTGGTCTGACTTTTAGTCTAAAGCGAAAGTCCTTACAAATGACCTACATAGTTGGGCCCTCTTTATACCCTCATCTCTGTAAAAACTGATAAAGGAAACCGTATTCAAGGTGGAGCTGGGAAGCCCTGAAGGGAGGGCTCTCATGCACTGCACCATCCATTGCAGCATGCATAACGAAAAAGAAAGGTAAGAATTATTTTAATAAGGTCTGTTTCTCAACGTCTTGTCTGTAATAATAAGAATGTTACTTTTCATCTGGTTCAAAGGAGGACATTTTTCACATGAGAATTTATTTATTTTTATTGATTTCAGAGAGAGGAAGGGAGAGAGAGAGAGACATCAATGAGAGAGTCATTGATCGGCTGCCTTCTGCACACCCCCAGTTGGGAATCAAGCCTACAACCCGGGCAGATGCCCTGATGGGGAATTGAACTACGATTTCCTGGATCCTAGGTCAATGCTCAACCGCTGAGCCATGCAGACTGGGCTCACATAGGGATTTTATCTCCTGCTAAAAAGAACGGGGGAGGGGGGGAGGTCCGTTCCTGCCCCAGCAATACACTAGCCACCGCTTGCAGCCAATGAGAAACCACCTCCTCCAATGGACTTTTGTTCAAAACAACCCTCCCTAATTTCCTCCTAAAACCTAATAAACACTGATCTTCCCTTTGCCTGTCCTGAATTAGAATTCCTTTGTTCTTCCTGAATAAACTCATTTTCTGAGCTCGCCTCCATTTACCCCTTTGTTTAAGTCAGCATCTCCTAACCTCTTCTCACTCCCACTGCTCCAGCCTGGGAGCTGGCCTCCTCAAAGGTCCTTAAACATGTGGACTGGCTTCCTCCAAAGGGCCTTGGCACTTCTTGTCCTTTTGGCCTGTAATACTCCTCCCACGGCTGGCTCCCTGCCTCACCCCCTTCAGTTTTTTGCTCAAATGTCACCTTCTTGGTGAGCCCCTTCTCAGATCAAATATTTGAAGTTGCCACCTGTCAGCCTCTATCTCCCCTGCTTTATTTCTCCAAAGCACTCATCTTCTCAGGTATGATATCCTTCCTTTTATTGTGTTTACCTTCTTTTGTCTTCCTCAATGTAATAGAAGATCCTAAAGGAGCAATTATTGTCTTACCATTGTATCTCCGGCACCTGAAACAGCCCTGGCGCATAGGAGGCGCTCTATAAGTATTTGTTGAAGGAGTGAATTTCTTGTGTGAATAAAGTGCCTAACGGGGACTGGACAGAGAACTGCTTGCATCCTCTGGCCTCCAAAACCTCCCTTATACTGTGCTGGGTGCAGTGCCCAGGCCTTATTGAGTCAGGGCCTTCTTACACATTCTGTGTTCATCAACACTGGAACTATTTGTGGAACTGCCTGTTTATATGCCTTTATTCACTCCCTTCAATGAGATCTCCGTAAAGCCCAAATTCTTTCCCTGCTTAACCCTTCCGTGGCTCCCCTGTGACCTCAGGACAGAATCCAGGCTCCTCAGCATGGCCCCACAGATCTTTGTGAACTGACCCATGGCCCCCTCTCCAACCACAGTGATATTTTAGTTCATTGAACCGTGCTGTGAGTTCTACCTCCAAGCCTCTGCTCACGCTGCTTCTGCCTGGAACATTCTTCGCCTGGCTTCTAAAATTAGCTGGTTTTCCCTCCAGGAAGCCTTCCTGACCTTCTCTTCCCTGCCGAGGAAAGGTTCCTCCTTTTGGGTCCCCTCCATCCCCTGGAATTTCCCCACCCCAGCCCTGACCACTCTGGGCTGTCCCTGCCTGGTGATGGGTCTGTCTCCCTTAAGGGCAGGGTCCAGAGTTGCCTTGGTCCCCGCTGAATCCCCAGCATTGTCCCCAGGAGGACCACTCAGCAGGCTCTCTTTGGGGGCTCAGTGGTTCCCAGGATGGGGTAGGCTCTTCTTGGGGTCTAGTATGAGTTCCATGTCCTCAGCTTGGGTGGAGAAACAGAGAAGGTGGTTTGGGGGTGGGGGTGGGGCTTAGTAAGCACTCGGCCTAATTCCTTGATAGTCCCTAGCACTGTGACAGCGCACAGTAAGTAACCCTTTTTGGAGCCCCAGTCTCCTTTTCAAGGGGGACAGGGTAGGTGAACGCACAAGTTAGTGCATGGGCCTGATTCCTTTGCAAATTCCAGCACAGGGCAGGCACACCGTGCACGGCAAGTCCCCTAAGGGTCTGGGTCTATTTTGGTCGAGGCGTGTCTGAGGATCACACAGGCAGGGAGGGGTTGGGTGGGCGAGGCAGGGAGGCAGGGAGGGTGCGCACAGGCTCCCAGCGGGTCTGGGGGGTCTAGTTAGTATCGCTGAGGATGCAGACAGCACGCGGAGGAGGTTTGACCGAGTGTTTTTATTGGGTTGCTGCTCCGGGCCGCGCCGCAGCGCGGAGGGGAGGCGCTAGGCCGGGCACGCGGCCCCCGAAGCGGTAGGTGTACTTGCGCCCCCCGCTCTTGCGCACTATGTCGCGGCGGTAGTAGTAACGCAGGCCTCGGCTCAGCTTCTCGTAATTCATGCCGGGTTTCCTCTTGCGCTCGCCCCACAGTCGCGCCACCTAGAAGGTGGGAGCAGGGGGGTCTTAGCAATAGACGGCGGGGTGCGGGGTGGAGGGTGCGGGGTGCGGGCACAGCCCCGACGCGGGTTGGGTAGGGCCCAGCGGGGCTGAGGCGAGGGCGCGGCCAGGGCGGGACCAAGGGCGAGGCGAGGGGACCGCAGGGCTACGTGGAACGAGGGGAGACTGAGGCCGGCCTCGGGGGTCGGGCAGCGCCCACCTCTTTGGGGTCGCACAGCTGGAACTCGAGGCTGTTGCCCGTCCAGCGGATGCAGCTGCTGCGCGCCCCGTCTTGGAGCAGCTCCAGGAGGAACTGCCACAGCTGAATGGGACCTGCGGGGTGGAGGCGGGTGAACGCTCAGGTGTTCCGGCCCCGGCCCCAGTCATTTCGACGACCCAGGAGTCCCGCTCCCTCACCTCGAAGGTCCAAGGGTTCAAGTCTCCCCAAATCGGAAACGAGGAGTCCGGATCCCCTCCTCCTCGGGGACCGGGGAGTCCAAATCCCTCCATACAAGGGACCCAAGAGTCGGCCTCGGAGACCCCGGGGATTTAGGAGTTTGGCTGCCCCACCTCGGAGACTCGGCACCCAGGCCCTCACGTCTTCCCTCCCCCCTAATTCGGGAGCCTAGGTCTTGTTCCTTGCTCCCTGGAAGACTGCCAGGGCCCTCATCCTGCCCCCCCTTAGGATCAGGACTGAGGGCCACCGCCGCCTCCTCTCCCGAGCCGAGGTGTCTAAGCGCCCCCTTGGGCGCCTCGGCCCCGCCTCACTGGACTTAGGCTTCGCTCCCTCCCGACCACGTCCCGCGGGCCTCTCACCTCGGTGGTTAGTTTTGGGGTAACGAGCCAGATTTGCACGGTNTCTAAAATTAGCTGGTTTTCCCTCCAGGAAGCCTTCCTGACCTTCTCTTCCCTGCCGAGGAAAGGTTCCTCCTTTTGGGTCCCCTCCATCCCCTGGAATTTCCCCACCCCAGCCCTGACCACTCTGGGCTGTCCCTGCCTGGTGATGGGTCTGTCTCCCTTAAGGGCAGGGTCCAGAGTTGCCTTGGTCCCCGCTGAATCCCCAGCATTGTCCCCAGGAGGACCACTCAGCAGGCTCTCTTTGGGGGCTCAGTGGTTCCCAGGATGGGGTAGGCTCTTCTTGGGGTCTAGTCTGAGTTCCATGTCCTCAGCTTGGGTGGAGAAACAGAGTAGGTGGTTTGGGGGTGGGGGTGGGGCTTAGTAAGCACTCGGCCTAATTCCTTGATAGTCCCTAGCACTGTGACAGCGCACAGTAAGTAACCCTTTTTGGAGCCCCAGTCCCCTTTTCAAGGGGGACAGGGTAGGTGAACGCACAAGTTAGTGCATGGGCCTGATTCCTTTGCAAATTCCAGCACAGGGCAGGCACACCGTGCACGGCAAGTCCCCTAAGGGTCTGGGTCTATTTTGGTCGAGGCGTGTCTGAGGATCACACAGGCAGGGAGGGGTTGGGTGGGCGAGGCAGGGAGGCAGGGAGGGTGCGCACAGGCTCCCAGCGGGTCTGGGGGGTCTAGTTAGTATCGCTGAGGATGCAGACAGCACGCGGAGGAGGTTTGACCCGGTGTTTTTATTGGGTTGCTGCTCCGGGCCGCGCCGCAGCGCGGAGGGGAGGCGCTAGGCCGGGCACGCGGCCCCCGAAGCGGTAGGTGTACTTGCGCCCCCCGCTCTTGCGCACTATGTCGCGGCGGTAGTAGTAACGCAGGCCTCGGCTCAGCTTCTCGTAATTCATGCCGGGTTTCCTCTTGCGCTCGCCCCACAGTCGCGCCACCTAGAAGGTGGGAGCAGGGGGGTCTTAGCAATAGACGGCGGGGTGCGGGGTGGAGGGTGCGGGGTGCGGGCACAGCCCCGACGCGGGTTGGGTAGGGCCCAGCGGGGCTGAGGCGAGGGCGCGGCCAGGGCGGGACCAAGGGCGAGGCGAGGGGACCGCAGGGCTACGTGGAACGAGGGGAGACTGAGGCCGGCCTCGGGGGTCGGGCAGCGCCCACCTCTTTGGGGTCGCACAGCTGGAACTCGAGGCTGTTGCCCGTCCAGCGGATGCAGCTGCTGCGCGCCCCGTCTTGGAGCAGCTCCAGGAGGAACTGCCACAGCTGAATGGGACCTGCGGGGTGGAGGCGGGTGAACGCTCAGGTGTTCCGGCCCCGGCCCCAGTCATTTCGACGACCCAGGAGTCCCGCTCCCTCACCTCGAAGGTCCAAGGGTTCAAGTCTCCCCAAATCGGAAACGAGGAGTCCGGATCCCCTCCTCCTCGGGGACCGGGGAGTCCAAATCCCTCCATACAAGGGACCCAAGAGTCGGCCTCGGAGACCCCGGGGATTTAGGAGTTTGGCTGCCCCACCTCGGAGACTCGGCACCCAGGCCCTCACGTCTTCCCTCCCCCCTAATTCGGGAGCCTAGGTCTTGTTCCTTGCTCCCTGGAAGACTGCCAGGGCCCTCATCCTGCCCCCCCTTAGGATCAGGACTGAGGGCCACCGCCGCCTCCTCTCCCGAGCCGAGGTGTCTAAGCGCCCCCTTGGGCGCCTCGGCCCCGCCTCACTGGACTTAGGCTTCGCTCCCTCCCGACCACGTCCCGCGGGCCTCTCACCTCGGTGGTTAGTTTTGGGGTAACGAGCCAGATTTGCACGGTCCGACGGCAGCTTCGGTTCGGAGGGGGCGGTGAGATCTGAACTCGGGCGCTCCTTTGGAGAGGTGGTGAGACCCCCGCGCAGCCCCAAGTCCCAGGAGGTGGGACAGTCCGAGCCCCCAGGCCCGCCCCAGTATTTGGCGCCGTCGGAGCCAGCAGAACAGTCCCAGCTGGTGGAGCTGGCTGTGGTGGGGGCGCACGACCACGCGCTGGTCCCGCCGGAGCACGGGGTGGTGTTCTGGCCGGTGACCCCCAGGGGCCCGGCGAAGGGGGCGGGGCCCGGGGCTGGAGAGACTCGGCTGCAGGCGTCCCAGCCGGTGCTCCCCAGCTGCGTCCAGTCTCCCGACCGCGGCGGAGCCTGCGAGCCGTGCTCTGTGCGGGGGAACGGACCCCAAGTGAGCGGAGCCCAGGCGCCCCGCTCCCGGGCCCCTCGGGAGTTCTAGAAGCGGAAGCTCGAGGCCCTGGCTCCGGAGGCCCTGGCTCCCGGATCTGGGCCCGGCCACCTGGAGGGACACAGCGTCCCCAGTCCTATCTCTGTTCTCCCTCAAAGATCAGGAAACTTAAACTTCAACCGCGGTGGGAGACCCCAGTCCCCGCTGCCTCTCCGCGCGCTCACCTGCGGCCCATGGAGTTTCTGGGTGCGGTGGCCCGGAGCTGCAGTCCCACTGCGGGGGTCCTGCGAGGAGTGAAGAGGTAGCTGAGTTCAGGGGAGGGTGTGAGCTAAGACTGGAGAACCCCCTCAACCACTCACCCAGGAGTCTTTATTTGTCAGGGACTGAGAGTCATATTACCCCAGCCCCTAATCACTCAGACCTAGGACTGGGGACCCCAGCCCCCTCCTCTTTCAGCCTCAGGAGTTCAGGCCCGCAGCCTTCTCCCCACTAAATGCCAGGAGTCCGGGCACCCCCTCCCTCCCTCAGACCTAACCTTCCCCAGCACCCAGGGGTCCCAGCTCACAAACACCTTTCCAGCACGTCTCCTCCGTCAGCGTGTCCCCTTGGAGCGCCACTTCAGGGAAATAGAAGCCAAGCTCAGCTCCTTCTGCAGGCAGTCAGGGTAGGGCTGGTCAGGGTCAGCGGAGGCCCCCCACCTGGGCACCGACCCCCGCACACATTGTTTCAGCCCCAGCAGCCTACCCAGCCTTGACAGCCTGTTCCCCAGGGACACTTCCTGCAGTGATGCCTCATCCCAGTTCCACAAGTCCATGGATGCTGGTTGTGAATGTTCT